TATATATATATATATATATATATATATATATATATATATATATATATATATATATATATATATATATATATACTCTACGCAGAACGCGCCATTGAGAGTCATGGCACTATAGCACGAATTTTTAAAATCATGAATCGTTTGCTTTTAACAAACACTCTGCATATGTACACAAGAGAATTCAATGTTATGATAATTTCATTGGAGCCTGCATGACAGTGCGATGTTTCTACAAAAAGTTGTATTACCCATTATAATGGCAATTGATACACCAGGCAGAAATCTTAGTACGTATATTGTATATTATAATAAATTTTACTTTTATTATGTATGGTTTTAAAGTTATTTGCTGGACTCTGCTCTTGACCTATTATAGGTCTATGAATACACTTTAAACTGATTTCCTCAAAAATCTTGGGATTTAAAGACTTTGCCCTCAGACCGTGAGCAGGGGCGTCGACATGAACAACATTTTTCCTCAGGGAATAGATTGTTCTTAGAATCTCCCACTCCCTCTATAAAATGTAACTGACGGAAACACAGTATTGCATGCTTCATATAAACATATCCCAAAACATTGCAAAAACATTTGACCGAACAATACATGAGGAAAATAATACACCCACATTGCAATATGCATGACATAAAATAATATTGAGTAAAAATACTCACATATATGAACTAATTTCCCGACATTTTTTGCAAAGAATCAGATATATATACAGTGTATTCTTATTAAAATAGCTTCTTTATGCACTGTAAATTTAGTGAAGGACCTCGAAATTTACAGTCAATGCGATAAGACCAATGCCAGAATACGGAACTATTTCTTATAAGTATATATATATAGACAAATTTAGTTCTCGTATTAGCAACTAATATACCAATCCTAGCTTAGACATATACATATATACAGGTCGTCTCTAGAAATTCACCTTATTGTTATAATTTGAATGCATGAGTCTATATAGCTACCTGCAAGTATATTGAATTCATGGGTGCGCATAAACACATTTGATCGAATTTTAACGTTTTTAGTTTCGTTCAACATATAATTAATTATATAGCTATGCTGAATATTTAACGCAGCGCGTAAAGCAGTAAAAACTTGTTGTCAGTTGAACCATCTATAGCCTACTCGAACGTATAACCGAATGTAATTTGACCATTTTGTGTAGTTATTCTCTTTTATGCTATTAGTATAGCTATTTTAAATTCCAGGGGCAGAAAATCTTGTGCCCCTCAATTTTCAGCTCCTCTTCTTTATTATGTGCACCCTGTGAATATTTTTACGCACCCGGCCGTGATCCGTGGGTTCAACATATAGTGCCGAGGCATTCAAATTATAACAATATAATAATTTCTAAAGGTTTCCTTGTTGCGCCACCCTGTCTATAGTCAGCATTTCCGAGTGTGGTGTAGAAGATTAACTGGTCTTGGCATCCTTACATATACAGGGGACCAGGTAGTTCGTCTGTTTTAACGATCATCAATTCCAAATATGAAACCTATTAAATATATACTAGTTTCATTTCGCTCGAAAGCGAAACGATGAATCGAGTAGATTCTTTATCGTCTTCCTTCCTGTCGTGGGCGATATCCCCGTGACTTGCATGGTCATTTAGGCCTATATACCAATTCTGACGATGACACGCATTAAGTTTCGTCATATTTTATACATCTATAAATACAAGTACAGCTGTACGTATGCCCATCAGAACAAAACTAGAAGACAGTTTAGCAGCAACTCGCTCACACAAATAATTTGAAAGATATTTTACTTGGGAAGACTAATGATGAAGATCTTTATGATTTTGCTATGTGTATTTTTACTTCGTTCGCATTGTGCTTTTGGTGGTGACGAGTGGTGTCTTGACAGTGGTGACACAGGTAACAGAAATTATCTTTTTGTGAATTAATCAGCTGAGGAATATAAATGTAGATTCCTGGAGAGAGCTGTGCGCTGCAGTATATATATTGGTAAAATAAAAAAGATTTTTCTTAGATTTGAAATTGATCGTCTCAGTGTTATGACTGGCGAGCTGATTTTCTAGATCTTCACATGTGGAGAATTATTGTCTCAACGTTTCCATTGGCGAGTAAGGGTTTACGACATGTACAGCCCCAAAGTTGTCTGGAACTATTATAATTCTAATTAACATGGTGCCCTGCATCGCGACGTTGCAAAAGTTGACTTTTTTTCGTAGCGGCCATTTTTCGATTTTCACTGAAAGTGAACTTTGATCCTAGTAATTAAGTTTTCAAAATATTTAGGGGTGCTATTAATTAAATTTAAAAAATTTCAGTTGTTTGGACTATATAGGTCAATATATGATCTCTTAAAACTTCATATCATAAACGGTTAATATTTTCTTTCAAAACGGAAAAAAATTGAGTCGGGTTGCCGAATCTTGCCCATCTAAAGACGTTCCTGTTTGTTTGACTTATATAGGCAGAAAATAAGGAAATAAACGGAAATAAACCTGTTTTGAGGCCTCATATTCTTCGACTGGGCCACTACAAGCTTTAGTGAAGTAACGGAAGTGACTCAAGTGATAAGCGACTATATATGTATACTATGGATAAAACATGAGCAGCCGATCTGGATCTGATATACAAATTCGAGCCGAAGGCGAGAGTTTGTATATCCGATACAGATCGGATGCGAATGTTTTATCGAACTTAAAAAATGACCCATCTTATGATGATTGGCAGAGTAATTTTAAAAATAAACATATAATTGTCTAAGCCGAGAAAATCAAAGCCGCAGTGAAGTTTATGTACTGAATCAGGACAAATCTTTATCCGATTTGCAAACATTGATTAAACTAACATGCATTTCCTCGTGAATTATTAAAGATTTTTTAAATATAAATATATGCCAATTCAGAGGGATTATCATCTACCTATGCTATCCAGGCTCGTGGTTGGTTGATTATAACAATGAAAGTCGAAAGACAATAAAACTATAGAAATTGTCTTTCTAAAGAACGAGTCAGGAAAATTGATCATGCAGTTGCTGAAAGCCACTCACAAAACATGATCATTTTAGGCAGATCTTTATCCGATGACTCGCATCCCAATGACGGCCGAGTTCTGCGCACATGGATTTGTAGCTGAACTATTTTATAACACCTGTCAGTAAAACGTCGTGCTTGACTCATGTGCTGCATGAACCTAATTCGAAGTGTTTATAGCGCATGCAAATGTGTGACGTCTTCATCAAGTGATACCCGCTGAAGATATATGTACACAGCTCCAGTGGTAGATTATATTTAACCAATATAAAACATTTTCCATGTTGATATAGCTACAGTTATATCAACACGAATGAAAATTGGGTAAACGAAGTTTTCTTCTACAAAATGTCGAGTTTTCCCAATTTCCACGAGTGGCATGATATATAACTGTTTGTTATATAGTAGATCGAGAGTGAGATACTGAGCATGAAAAATTCAGGGTGAGATATTTTCCATATCTTCACTAGTGAAGATATTTCCATATCTTCAATTTTTCGCTTGGGACTATATAATAAACAGGACATTACACGGTCGCTTGCTGCGCTCGTTCGTAAAATATTGTTTTCACCACTCGAAGATAAAAGTCATATCTTCGCGCCGCCTTATAATATCCTCTATATATCAATCCTTGACTTGCAATCAATCCCTTGAGAATTAGAAGACAATGGCACTGCGGCCATGTTGGTGCCAAATTCAAAAGAAATTAACGAGATTCTTTTCGGTTGAAAACGGACCAACATGGCCGTCGCTTACATCATTGCAAGTCAAGAATGCGGAAAAAGGTTTAAATTTTTCTTATAATATACTGCACAAAGAAATAAATTTCCGTGTTGACATTGAGTTATTATAAATATATATAAGTCATATAAGCTCGAATAATCTATGCCAGCGTATATAAGTAAAGTGACAAAAACTGTAACACTAACCTCCAGACGAAGAACCTTCGCTCGAAACGTCGAAGTTTTACTTGTGTTTTTTTTTTTAGGGAGTTCAATCCCTACCATCTGCATTTTCTGGATCAAGTCATAGTCTAGATATGATGGTCCGGAAGCCGAGCAAACTTCAAAGTCACAAAATAAATAAAAAAAACCTTTGTTTGATATTGAAATATACTTCACAGCGCAGAAATCCATTCCCAACTTCATTAGATATAATCCGTCATGGTGGCTGTACCCACCGGGCACACGACGTTGTTTCAACGTTGAATATTGGTAGAGAAAAAGAATTGCGACGTGAACAGCCTAATATCAATGTTACTCTGATGTTGGTTTACAAACGTTGGTTCAACAGCAGCTAACGACGTCGAATGAACGTTCATTCATGGTTGATTATACGACGTCAACCTGTAAAGTAATCTCAACGTTGTTTCAACGCGGATTCAACGTTGAATTATGGTTGACGAGATTGGCAACCTAATCTAGTAATCTCAACGTTGTTTCAACATCAAAAGAGTAACGTCGATCCAATTTCCATTTTCAGTCATTTTGCAACGTCTATCCAACGTCTGGGAGATAATTTCCGACGTTGATTCAACGTTGAATTAAAGTCGTTTTGCCCGCTGGGTATAGCTACATTTTATTTTAGCTATCCATATTGGACATTTTTTCATTATACGAAAATGCATGCAATCAACTCAATCACCATGGTCGTGCACGAATCAACACAAACTCAGACAAAACAAAACACAATGACTTAATATGTTAAGTTCCCAGACCATCATATTTTGGTAGTCCATGGCTTGAACTTGGCCAAACAATATTTATAGTTGAGAATATGCATTATATATATGAAAACTTTATTCAACTGTTCAATCACCATTAATTAAAATGTGCCAACAGTCGCTCAAAGACAATTAAGGTGATCGCTTTATTGAACGAGTTTGTCGTCGCTGTTGCAATCGTACACACCTAGTCTAATTGGCCACCCCCGCGCGCTTCAAGTAAAACGCCCGTTCTACATCCAAAATAAAGTCTCTGTTGTTGAATACCATTAGCAGCATGGGCTTGGCAAAAGCGCACGACGCCCATTTGCGTGGGCGAACGAAAAAGCTAGAAAAGTTCCCCGCCGTTGTTTTGGTTACATTAGAGAGGTACATGCAGATTTGACTTTCACTTCCGCTACCATGCACTACTTATCACTGGCTTAGTGCCCATCTAATTGGTTAATCGGATAAATCAAACTCGTCCGATTGGTTAATCGTTTCTTAGTAATGGTGGTGGAAGCGGTGAAGGAATTTAAATCAGAACCTCCCTAATTGTAGTGAGTTTGCATGGGAACTTAGAACGGCAATGTCAATGAAGACGTGCTCGTTAACAATAGCATTTTTACTCCAAGACAAAAACAACTAACAAATTATATTCCCTTGGGCATTCCGGTAC